GGATGATATGGAAGCTGAGATCGATCAAATGCTGTTAGGTATAAATTATGGAGGCTATAGAAACGGCGTTGAAAAGGATGATCGTAATGTATACATCCTCCATCAGAAATCTGCAAAGAAGAATCATGTTAGTGGTACATATGATCTTGGAAATTGTGACCAAGATGGAATCGGTCTTGAAAAAGATGAACATTCAGCATTCATTAATTATCAAAAGTCAGCCGAGATGGGTTATGCTGATGGAAGACATGAACTTGGACGTTGTTACCAATATGGTATTGGAATTAAAAGAGTTAAACATAAGGCGTTCAGAAATTATCAAAAAACATCTGAAATGGAGCTTACCGAAGGAGTTCCTAATGATGATCACTATTGTCTTCGATATGGAAAAAGTGTTGAAGTCGATGAAAGTGAGATGGGTCATGATGACAGAAAAGTCGATCTTGGTTATTGTCATCAAAATGGAGTTGTAGTTGAAAAGGATGAATGCAAGTCATCCATTAATAATCAAAAATCAGCAGAAATGGATAGTGCTGATGAAACATACGATCTCGGATGTTGTTATCATAATGAGATTGGAGTCATGATGGATGAGCACGAAGCGTTCGATTATCCCCAAAAGTCTACTAATAAGAGTTATGTTGAAAGTTCGACGAATGTTGCTGATGGTACTAGATTGATAATATTTGTATCAGACTTTGTGGACTTCTTGACCATTTATTATTGGTTGTGGGCTGTTAAACGATATATGTCGAAGCAGATATATGAATGTAAGGCGGATCATAATGTTGATGACAAAATGAGAGACATTGATGTTGAACAATCCCAAGGTCGCGCAGTTGTAGTTGATGGTATCAAAGCGGGTGATGAAATCAAGGGTATTGGTAGTGAGGTAGAACATGAAAAGATGATAGGGCATATTAGTAAATGTGAAATACTTACTACAAGTAAGGACGATCTAGAGATTTCTTGTGAAAATTGGTTAGAAAAGGTTCGAAAATTAAAGTATGAAGTTGGGGATGTAAAAACGAAGGAACAATCGATAAAATTAATGGATTATGATAAGCATCTGTTGTCGAAGTTGGTGTTGATGAGCTAAGGTGTTGGTAATTGGTAAAGATTTGTACTTTGGGGATGAAAGTACAGGGGGATCTAGCTCATATCATGGTGAATTTCAGTACTCCATGCAATTGGTTGGTGTAACGTGATCATAGATGGCATGATCGGGTTTTGCATGATTGTAAATTAATTAAAAGTCTAATTGTGATGCAATGATTAAT